GTCTGACAACGATGAAATCGTAGCAGCATGTGATCCAGCGAAAAACGCCAACGTGCACAATCATGTGTAGCTTCTCCAGAATCAAGTTAGGAATACCCTCCAGGTGACCAGCACGCTATTTGAGGAAAGGTACTTGGGTCTTCCTACACCAGAGGGTCGCATGTCCAAGGGTAAATTTCAGAACTTGCAAATGAGTTTAAGAAAACGTCTGATACAATGGGGGGATGGACATCTAGCACAGCCGGGAAGAGAGGTCCTCATCAAATCGGTAGCCCAAGCGCTTCCAACATATGTCATGGGGGTTTTTAAATTACCGTTTTCCTTGTGTGATGAGCTTACAAGGATGATCAGGAATTTTTATTGGGGCTCAGAGAAAGGTAAGAGGAAAGTGCATTGGAAAGGGTGGGATTATCTTCTTCAGCCTAAGTCAAGAGGAGGAGTTGGATTCCGAGACCTCCGTATTTTCAACCAAGCACTGCTCTCACGTCAAGCATGGAGATTGATCACCAGGCCGGACAGTCTATGCGCAAGAGTTCTTAAAGCATGTTACTATCCAAATGGGAAGTTTGAAGATACTGTCTTCTTGGGGAACGCCTCATCCTCATGGCAGGCTATAAGTCATGGATTGGACTTGCTGAAAAAGGGATTGCTATGGAGGGTCGGGAATGGCAATAGTATTAGAATTTGGAGAGATAATTGGATCCCCCGGCCTTTCTCTTTTAGGCCGATCTCTCCACAAGGTCGATGCCGTGTCCGTTTCGTGGCTGATCTTTTGTATGATAATGGCTCCTGGAAGTATGATCAATTGGTGAAGTATTTTGTTGCAGCTGATGTCACGGAAATTCTGAAGATTCGAGCGTCACCAAGAAAGGAGGAGGACGTGATAGCATGGGGGCCAGGGCGTAATGGCCAGTTCTCTGTAAAATCGGCCTATGATATGGCCTTTCAGGAGGAACATAGAAGTAATGCTGCAGCTTCGAGTAGTAACCCAGATGGTGACAGATCACTATGGAAATTGGTATGGTCTGCTGAGGTTCCTCCCAAAGTTTAGAATTTTGCATGGCGGTTATGTATGGATAGTCTCCCAACGTGGAAAAATAAACAAAAAAGAAGGCTAGAAGTTACAAGCCTGTGTCCAATCTGTGCTATGGAAACTGAGGATAATTTCCACCCGGTTCTTCGCTGCCCGCTTGCTCGTCAACTATATGAGGCCATGTCCGAGGTATGGAAGCTGCCAGCACTTGAAACGATTATGTACACAGGCAAGGAATGGTTATTTCAGCTCCTGGAAAAGCTGGACCAAACCACACCAAGCATGCTACTATTTACGTTTTGGAGGTCTTGGTATGTGCGTAATGAGGTGGTGCATCAAAAACCTGCCCCGCATGTGAGTGCATCATGCAGGTTTCTTCAGAGCTATTTGGAGTCGCTCATTGCTTCCAAAGTAAATGGTGATATGGACCCCCGGAAGGGTAAGGCGAGTTGTGTATTCATTGCTAAATCCCCTCGAACTTGTACCACGGTGCCAGAGTTGAGGTGGTCTCCGCCCCAGCGAGGTTGGGCAAAATTAAACACCGATGGTTCTTATGAAGAAGGGGGTTCAGCAGGCTCAGGTATGATCCTGCGAGACGAGGTGGGTGGTATTATCTTTACTGCGTGTAGACAGCTGTTTTCTTGCCGGGACGCGCTGGAATCGGAGCTTCATGCGTGTATGGAAGGACTTTCATTGTCACTACAAAGAAGTGAAGCACCCATTGTTGTGGAGATGGATTCGAGCGCGGCTGTTTCTCTGATCCAGGAGGAGGGAGTTGACAGATCAGTGTATGCTTCCATAGTCAATAAAATCAAGTTCCTTAGAACTTTGAGAGAAACGTGTATTACTCTTGTATCCCGTAGCCAAAATAAAGCTAGTGATAGTTTAGCCAAATTTGCTAGAGTTAGCCAAAGAACTGTGACGTGGCTACGATCGGGGCCTCCCAGTGTCCTGGGTTTGGTGCAAGATGATTGTAAGGACCTCTTGAATGAGTAATACATGGCTTTTCCCGCAAAAAAAAATGTGTAGCTTCTCTATTGCATGAACAGTACGTGGATGGCCGGCCATGCCTTTCCTAACCATCATCCTGACAACCCACCTGGCGAAAGGAGCCCCTGCTTAACACCAACACGAAGGATACCGGGCCAAATCATCAGCAGCAGGTCGCCAACGCAGCAACTCTAATGCAGCAGTAATCCATCCCAATCAAAATAAGGCAGTTGATGCGAGAAAATTTCTAGCTCATATAGGAGTATCAGATAAACAGAGATTTTAGCTCTTAACATGAACGATGGCATCTCGAACGTTACCTGTCGCTGTAGATACTAGCTATAAAGATAGCAGCACCGGCCATTCCGATTAGCTGAAGCAAAGCAAAGCAGCATATCGTTCTGCATAAACCGTTGGTGCGACCAAGCACACCGGATCCAGCAGGAATATACCAATTATTAGTGGTGTCCACCATGAATCGGAATCTATCCGTGGTTACCAATATCCGGCAACTTGGAGGCCGGAATGCTCTCTATCTAAGTATCCATCCCAGGCTCAGTTTGATGTATACAGTGCATGTTTTCAGCCAAGTGTTCGTCTGATGGATGGATGCATGATTCACCATCCAGTATACGCATGCGCTGGGCCTTCCTTGCTTTGCCTCACTTCTTGCACGCTTCAGACTCACATTCTTTCTGCGTCAACTTTTACTTAATTCTCTCCTACCCTACTTAGCCTAGCTACCACTTCTGACCCAAATCTCTTGCAGGGGAAACAGGAAAAGGCGATTTGTTCGATTGGAGAACGCTTCTGATTGGGCTAGCGATCATTGATTGGTGAGAAAGTGTTGATTGTGAGCGCAATATCTAGGCATTCCATTGGCCGAGGAAAGGAGAATTTTGCGGTTTAATGTAGCATTCCATTTTATAACGCAATAGGCTTTAGAGGCATCATATGAACATGACTAGTTTTGTCACCTTGAAGTAGATTTCCCTCTTAATTATGTCATGGTTGCAACAGAAAATGATATCGGTAGACGATAAGGAGGTGTGTACACGATTGGAGGATACGGCGAGGGATACTTTTACTCAATATGGGTGGCAGTATGATCTTAGGATTGGCCCACCTCCGCTTTAGGCGGTATACGGACTCTACATGTTTCTTTGTATTCTGCCTTTTCATTGTTCTTGTACGAGAGGACTTTGTTGGCTATGTGCATCTTAGTTAGGCCGGGTGAAATGCTTAGACATTTTAAGTAATAAAGTGCCCATTTTTCGAAAAAACAGAAAATGATATCCGTACACGATATTTAATTTTACGGGTTCTTTTGAATTTCATTAACAATAAGCATAGCTATCAAATCATGTAATCTCAACTGATTGGACATACATGCCAATGAAATATGTGAACTATGAAGAGGAAATTCATTCGTAAGCGCACCAGCGAGATCTTGTTGTTAATTAAGGCCTCAAGCTAGTCGCGGTCACTTTTTTAAAAAAAAAAGGGACTTCCCGGTCTCTGCATCAGAATGATGCATACGGCCACCTTTATAGATAAATATGCATACGGCCACCTTTATATATAAATAAAGAGGTTCAACAAGGTCTGACAGTCTGAAAATAAAATAACGGCAAGCTCACAAAGAGCCACAACGCCAAAACCAAAAGACCAAGAAGTCACAACCAGCTGGCATAACGAAGATAGGTAAACTAGTCGCGGTCACTTAGGGCGGTGAAATTAGATATAGACTATAGCAACATCAAATCTCCCTTTGCCATGAAAAGAAACCACCCGGCCCGTTGATAGCGGCCCTTGGTATAACCTTTTTGTAGATGCCCCTTGGTGAACCTGAGAGGTTGAGATCAAATCTCCAATCTAGATTAAAATATCCTGACTCTTTTTTAATCTTTACTAATTACATATACCATGGATCCAGTCATAACTGGGTAAAGTGGAAGAAGAGAGTGAAACCAAGTGTGAGACCACTGCAAGAAAGTTCTAGCCACCTTGCCATTCAATACTCCGTCATTTGAACTAGTGGAAGAAGGGAGTATTTGGAAACTTTCTGTCATTTGCAACGAGAATGATGTGCCGCTTTGTGTTGTTTGGGACGGTTATGATCTGAAGCTTTTTACTTCCAGAGGGATCTTGTTAACAAACTAATGCTACTATCAATGTATTTGGTCCAGACCAATTGTTTGTTATGTCAGATATTTTCACAAGTTTACGGTGATATGCTTGCTCAGAAATGTAATAATTCTTTTCTTTACACTGTGCACTGTTTTTTCTCTTTTGCGGATGGGCACTGTTTTTATGTTGCTATTGACTTGAGAAGAACTACCTCACTCTGGTCTTCCGTTTTTATGTTGTTTTCGAGAGAGTGATATTACTTGTGATTGTTTTCGCGAAACAGAGTTGCTGGCTGCCTCGTCGTCATTGCCGAGATAATGTGGTATGTCACTATCTCTTTAATTTAGATTTAAATTTTGAGAGAGGACGTCACTATCTCTTACTTCACAGAAATATTTTTTTTTTCGACATGTGGCGATGAATTCAGAAACGAAGCCCACTTCAGAAAAGTTATATGGGCCTCTGCTTAGAGGATTCGCAAGACTCATTTGCCAGCTGACTCAAAGCCCATCAGATTACCACATCACCTAAATAACGCAACTTCCCTTACAAATAGTATACTTACCTAACGCGACAGAAGAAAAACCAAATACACCCAAACATATACACTACTAACATAGTGTACATCATCATCGAGCTCGAAAACGAAACAGAAAACAAAACGAACGGTGCACATCAGCACACTTGGGCCACCAGTACACTTACCAGATCGGACGCTAGAGTCTGCACGTACAGCTACCACTCCACTATGGCAACACTTGATCATACATACACAGGTAGGTAGCTTGCTGTACTTATTTTTCTTGGTACTTAGCCGTCCCCCGGGCGCGGCGTGGCTCGAGCTCGATCAGATGGCCTGCACGGCCTTGGCCATGCCGTAGGCGGCGGAGGAGGCAAGCGCGCCGATGATGGCAGTCTGGATGGCGCTGAGGAACGGGCGGTTCCCGGTGAAGCGGCCCTTGACGTAGCCGAAGAAGAGCAGCGCGGCGAGGGTGACCACGACGGAGGTCATCATGGCGCTGTCGACCGACGCCAGGAACATGTAGGGGGAGAGCGGCACCATGCCGCCGACGACGTAGGCCAGCGCGATCGTCGCCGCGCTCGTCAGCGCGCGCCGCGGGTCCGGCTTCTCCAGCCCCAGCTCGAACCTGCATGCGTGCACCAAAGTTCCGCCGCGATCAGTCACATGGTTAGATTAATTGGAAAAAAAGTGAGTGGGCTGGGTGGGCTTGACTGATTGATTACTTCATCATGAACTCGAGCCAGGCCTTTGGGTTGTTGCGGAGGGAGGTGACGACCGGCCCGTACTCCTCGGGGCCCAGCCCGTACTCAGAGAGTATGTCCGCGATCTCCGCGGCCTCTGCTCAAAGAAATACATCTCAGCCGTTAGATACTTAGATTCGATCAGATCGATAGAGAGTGTCAGGTGAGAGAGAATGTGAGAGAGTGACCTGTGTCCGGGACGGTGTCGATCTCGTCCTGCTCGCGCTGCAGCTCCCGGTAGTAGTGGTCGGCGTCGCTCTTAGCGGCGAGGTACCTGACAAGAGTGCGAGCGCACATTAGCCGTAGGCTTTTACTGCGTTAATTCCGTTTGGTACGGCCCAGCAGAAGTTAGCCCGCTTTCGGCTGGGTTAAATGTAGACATCACTTCGGCCCGTTTTAGTAATTAGTGTAAAAAAAGTAATTAGTGCTTGCGATTTTTTAAAAAGTACTCCCTCCGTTCGGAATTACTTGTCGTAGAAATGGTTGTATCTAGACGTATTTTAGTTCTAGATACATCCATTTTCGAGACAAGTAATTCCGAACGGAGGGAGTAGTAGTGTTTGTAAGTGCGGAACAGGGAGAAACTATAAACTCTGTGAAAATAACATATATTTTGCTCCAGAACTTTATTATTCATTTGGTGAATATTTCATATATACATCAACGAAAAATTGGCATTTTTTTGAGTAATTCATGTGTGAAAATAATCCCTATTTCTAATGTACTCCGGTCAAATTCCCTTGCACGTGTGTGTGTGCAGGTGTGCTTAGTGTAGGTGAACAGTATTGCATTTTGGGATCACTAGGAGTCTCACATATAATTGTACATTTTTGGTTGAGTCATGCTATGCACAGGACAAAATTTGCATGATTCGCAGACTAACGCACAACATAGTGATGGAAAGGGGTTTCTGCCTTCTCACCTACTCAGATTCAAAGCATGGTACCTATAACTTGGGTTTGTTACACCAACTACTACGGAGCCTCACTTACAGTCTTTTTTTCAAAATAAATGCACAATTCACACATGAAGATTAAATCCAGGCGGACATGCGTATGGCTGACAAGGGCACTAGCCGCTGGATTTACATGTCGTGCAAAGATCGGGCACAAGTACCGGGCGTGGAACAGTTTCTTTTTTGGTTTTGCATAGGGCATAAAATACGTCTTGCATTTGTCACGGAGGAAGTATTGTTTTGTACTCCTAGCTGTTGCTGACACAAAGGAAAACTACAGAAATCCTAGGTAAGTGGTTGTCCAGACTCTGGACAATAAATGACCCAACTTAGTGAACAATGCAGGAAGGTACTAACACTGTAGGAGTATAAAACTTAGCGGGGTACTCATCAGTAAACATTCGTCTGTGCGGCAAAAATTTCCATTTTTTGGTTAGTAGACGTTATTAATCATTCCCCTACTTTCCATTCTTGGCATCAAGAACAGCAAGCTACTCTCACTAATCTCCGTTTCAGAAATAATTAAGCCTTTGCATACAAATCCAGCAAGCCAGCAGCATGCATGCGACATGTTCAGGAAAGCAATAGCCGGAGGAGTAACAAACGACATTAATCAGAGGAAACATATACCCAGAAAATCAAGGAGATTTCGATCTGTTTCCTTACCCTCCGAGCCCCATGGAGATGGCGCCGGCGGCGACCTCGGCGAGCCCGGCGGTGAGCACGAGCGAGGAGGACGCGTTGGCGCCCGACAGGCCGGCGGCTAGGGCGAAGGGCACGGTGAGGCCGTCAGAGACGCCGATGATGATGTCCCGGACCACCTCGCCGGAGGTGAAGTGCTTCTCCTTGTGGTCGTCGAGGAGCAGCCTCTGGTTCTCCTCGTCCTGCACAGGCTTCACCATCTTGCCGGTCGGCGTGGGAGTGTGCTTACGAGCGAGCTGGTGTGTTTAGCTATTTCCTGCGCTCAGATAGCTAGCTCGTGATCTGCGATGACAAGGGAAGTTTTGGTGTAGGCGAAGTGGACAGAGCTGGGAGGGGGTATTTATAGGGGTTAGAGGCCGGGTGAAATGTCCTGTTTGGACATGGGAAGTCGGGGCAATCTTGGGATTTGGGCACGCGAGGTACTATGTGAATGTGTGGTGAGTATGTCTGATTATGTTTTTATGCGTCCGTACTTCACTTTTATTATTTGCTGAGACCAATCTACCATGGAACCACGGATCCATCTCATGCCAAGTTGTATGGTTTGTAGAAACTCAAAGGGAGCAGAGAGCGATCGTTATTGCACGTCCAACTTTTAGGGCATCTTTGATTTTAAGGATTTGTAAAATGCAGTAATAGGAACTAGCACAACCAGTGCCGCAACGCCTTGCGA